AACATCCTATGCTTTTTTATAAAATTAATGTCTTTCAGACATTCACACAGAAACCATCGGTACACTTGGATAATATCCAGACCAAGATAAAGGAACGGCACGTCGAACTTCTTGCTATGGACAAAGTGATTTGCCATAAAAGTATGAAGGTACGCTCATTAAAAATAATTTTAAATATTATAAATAAAAATAGAAATGAAAAAATATAAATAATCCAAATAAATGACAAACAATTGAAATAATTTGAAGAATTACTCCATATAAATTAATATTCCTACAGGATTCGTGTACATATTCTTTCCACAACACCGATCCCACAATGACTCTCGTGATTGTATTTGAAAACGGGAAACAAAAGGATAAAGAAACACACATCACATCGTTTATGATGGACCTTTCTATGCAAATTAGATGCAATAAGGTTTATGAATGTCTTAAATTATCAAAATGAGTATTTGCGCGATGAATAAATAAATATCAAGTTATGCCAAAGATCTAATTACGTTTATAATAAAAAATTCATTAATATAAATTTATCGATACCACAATGTATAAAATAATAAAAAGAAAGTTTATTATTTGTATATATACAACTCATAGTCTTATATATGTTTCTAAACAATTACTTACACAAAGGAGAATTGAAACAAGAATATTACAATTATTAATTTTCTTGATTAATTATTGACTGTTTGATATTGTTTTACTTTGAAAAATATAACTTAGTTTTTATATATTTGATCTCATTATATATTATAGCTTGAGAACAGATGTTTTCTATTATTAATTTCATTTTTATTATCTATAATATCAATAACAATGTTTTTTTAAAAGCTTATTAAAAGCTTCTTAATTAATAAGTTTTCAATTATTATCGAAATCTCTGTTGATGCTACGCAATTATTATAATTATAAAAAATAATTTGTAATACCATGAGTGTTACAATATTTAATTACTATAGATGAAATATTGAACAGAATGGTTGCGTTCAGCAGAAAAAGCAGCTGTGCAATTGTTGTAAAATTCTTTAATATGATTGGTCTTGCCCTTAGTTCCTCACTGGATTTAAATGTATAAACCAATCATATTAAAGAATTTTACAACAGTTGCAAAGCTGTTCTTTCTGCTGAATGCAGCCATTATTACGATATCTTGAAAATGTCGAAAATTGAAAAATATATTCGCAAATTTAATTAGTGTCAGGCATTTCTCGGTAGATGGTGCCAACTTACCGAACTCGATCAGCCGCCAGAACAGCTGGGATCACAATGCTGATTGAGCTGATATTTTAAGTGTTGTGCTGATTGAGATTTTTTTACGCTGTATGTAATTTATCAAACGTCATTTCGTTGTAATCTGCGTCGATCCGTGATTGGTCATATATATCCGTGAAATCGTGCGCGTCTTTTACGTTTTTGAGTGCAGTGATAAGACTGGACGAGGCGCAACAGTTTTGCGGCATTGCGAGGTTATGTGCGAGTATTACGAGCATTTTATGTATCTCTCGTCTTCAGGACGTAACGAAGATCAATAGAGTATTGAATCAACTTTCCAACTGAAGTATCGGTGAGAATACAAAAATGTAAGTATTGTTGCCTTTTATCTGGTCTTCGCGGCTTTCTGTCGGACTCGTATATTAACCTTATCGGATTTGATGTCAAACAATTATTGAGGCTGGATCTATAAGACCCATTTAATTTATGTTAATGAAAATTTAAAAGACACCAATTAATTTCAAGAAATGACAATTTATATAAAAAAATGAATGCTAAAGCTATATTTCAAAATTCATTGCTAGTTGAAAATCTGTAGTTTACGTTATGTGCAGTATAGATTTCTTGCATTGAATTGGAGCAGTCTAAATTTTTAATAATAAATTTTTAATAATAAATTTAGAACTATATATCAATATACTATATATTAAAGAAAATTGTTTGATATATTTTTGATAAAGAGATTTATAATTGAGTGATTCAATAAATTTATCAACAACTTCAGAGGATTCAAGCATAATTGTAAAGATAAATACAGACATTTCATTGTGTTTTAAGGATTTGACATGATAGAAGATTTCCTTGCAAATCCTGCAACGTAATTTTCCACTTCTTTTATAGGATAAACTTGGAAGTAAATGACC